GAACGTATGGACAGTTCGTCCGTAAGCCCTGCACTTAGCACAATTTCCCAGAAGCCGCTTAGGGACAGAAGCGAGTGCCCCATTGGTGGGAGTTGGAATGGTGTAGACCAAAACCCCTTGAGAAGAACCTATGCTCTGCTGCAGCACAAAAACTAAAGCCAGATTAAATAACTTTCAGTATACTGGGTTATACTAATGGGATAAGAAATGGTTATACAAGTGCGGCCATGCTCCTGAGATTAATAACTTTACCCAAATGTGCCGAAAACAGAAAAAGTAGTCAAAACCTGACGGAGAGGGCCAAGCAAGCTTCAAGAAGAATAAGCATCACTCTGGGCAGGTTTAATAGCGAAAAGTTGTATTTTAGCTCTTCGCCCTTTCAGTTGGTTTTCTGGATTCTTAATGCTACTTTTCTTTTGTATCCGACGCTAGGGTTCCCTTAATTCCTATTGGACATCCGGAGGAACTATGTTCGATTACATAGAAGGTATAAAAGCATCAAGTTCTAGAAGTCCAGGATATAAAGGGTAGGAGCGTCAACTTACTCGACAGGTGCACAGCATCCAAGAAGGCCGGATCCGTATCGAACAGGTAAGCGCCCTGTTCGGCTAGACGCTTACGCGACAGAGAAGGCGGCGGGGGGCTAAGTACCTGACGTCCAAAGGCATTCGGGGAAACACAGGGGCTGTCTGAAGTTATAGCGGGGAAAAAAGCAGCTTCCGCGAGATCTGTGACAGCGGTTGAGGGCATCAGTACTGGACTGGTGTTACTACCAGGAAGAGGCCTGTAGCTACGACTCCTCCGGTGGCGAGCTAGGGGAAAGAAACCCAATGGTGAAAGAAACGTCGCAAAACAAGTAAAAAATCAGTCACCTGCAAGCACAATACTCACTGTCAAGCTTTTAATTACGTCAGAAATTAATGTCTGAACACGGTATATTGCCTCAGGTTGGGCCCAAACACTGAGAAAAATATGAGTCACACTGTATTGAATTAAGCGGAATAACTGTGTAGTAGTACAGTAGTCGCCGGTTATTAAGCCCACCTCGGGCCCAGACCAAATT